AAATATCCCTATTACAATAAAATTGAGCCAGTGACTGAGACATCTTTCTCCTTTAGGTTAAGCTGTCTCTGACTTATTCCTAGTTATTTTTTTTTTCTTCTTTCAAGTACTTTCTGCACTATCTTGTATGTACCTAGATTGGCATTAATATGACTCATATAATTCAGTTGTTGGGAGGATTCAAAAAAAAAAAAAGGTATCTCTGTCTATATGCAGAGTTCTGAGGCCTACAGACAAACAAAAAACAGAAAAATGCTTTCGCTGTGCTTGTACTCTTCATGGGTGCCCTGCTTGCCCATCAGTGGGGAATGAAAACAGTACTGCCCTGTCACTGATTCGCAATACTGATGTCTAACTAGTCACTCAAGTTAATGTTCTGTTATTCCAGACTGAAAATTACGATGGTATGTGTGGGGTTTTTTCATGGTGCCAAAGTCAAGTGCAAACTTGGGTCTTCCACATGAGTGGGAAAATCAGATCAGAAATTTTTCTCTTTTTTTAATTTTTATTTTGAAGACTCATACTGAGAAAGAGCTTGCTCTTCAGAATTTCATGGTGTGAATCAACCACTAGTAGTCTATAGGTTCCTACGGCTGCATACATCACAGGCTGAAAGCAGCTGTAATACAAATGGATCGTGCCTTTCAGTTTGGCTCAGTGCAGGTTTGTGCTATATTTCAGACCTGCAACATCCACTTCAGGGGCCCATAAATCTGAAGAGGATCCTTGGGGTTCTTAATTCAGAGGTGTATATATGTAAACAAAAAACTATATATTACACATGTAAAATTTCTCTTGATAGGTCTAGGTATGTTTGCCCCTTTTTGTGACACTTCCCACCGATATATGTGAAGCAACTTGAAGTGAGAGAGAGATTTTTAGGGTAGGCGTAATTGCATACAATACTCATCCACCAAAGAAATGCATCTGGATGGGTTACCACTTACTCACTGCTCTTCCCAACAGAACTCTGTGTGTATGTGTGTTGCAAATTCTGTTAATTTTGTCTTGTAGTTCAAAAGAATTACCTAGAGGATGGTTTCAGGATTCTGTGTCTCTCCAAGATATTGCAGTATGGTGATTTGTCTGCAGAATTGCTATCCGGTTTGCTTGCAGTGCCATAATCTGTTGAAATATACATCTTCAGATAATTATTCAAAGGTAGCAGCTACTTTATTTAGATAAGTATAGGTAATTTTTGAAATGTGTGTATGGAAATTAAGCTTCAGTATCCAAAATAAACCATACTGTACTATGTGTGATGTTCCATAATAGGTAAATCAGGCATGCATCGCCTCAGTTGTGTTTGCAGTTTTGTGAAAAAGCCCAATTTCTGTCCATGGCCAGAGATGGCATGGCTCTCTCAAGGACACTTGCATGTTCAACAAGGCCAGTGCTTTAGGTCAGACTTCCTTCTGAAGTTTCTGAAATAGCAGTGTTTAGTGTCATAAGAGTACAGCGCCTTAGGGAAGCTAGTAAACTTGCTTAATCTGCCTTCTTCCTTCTCACCTAGATCAGAGAGTTGTGATACAAAGTGTGAATTTCTTTTAAATACTGTGATGATTTATTTCTTTAAAGGTGAACAGTTATGTGTCAGGATTTTTTTCACTAGTGTGCTCAAGAGGTGATTTTTTTATTGTTCCCACAAGATGGAGCTGTCTACATATGTAATTAATATGGAATTTATACTGCTAGTCAAGGAGCTCTCTGAAAATACTGCTTCAGATTACCATTTTATTAGTATCCTTGCAGAAAACAGTACAATGTAGAACATAAAATAGTAACTATTATTTTAATAAGGTAGGGTAATCTTGTGGTTAAGGCATTGTGTTGGGATGTACACAGTATTGATTTCTTACTCCTCTCAATTTTAAACATTTATTCCCTGTGTGATTTTTAATTAAATATTGTGATAATACTCCTGAGAATTATCAATCAGTACTTTATTTATTATCATTAAACTGAAGTATGAGTAACTTTAATATTGAGAAAAAATAATAAATACTGACTTTTATAACAGTGAGTACTGTATTGCCTATCCTATATTGTATGTGCTTCCAGAATTTCTGGCTATGTTGTCTGGAATTGTTTTGTAACATTTTAAAGAGAAATCTTCTGATTGTATATTATTACCCTCTCTCAGTATTTCAGCAGTGTATCTTCCCATGTCGGTGTATCTGAAACTGGCAAAAAGGTACCAAGACAGCCAGGCTGAACTTGATACCCCAGAATCATCAGGCAATAACTGCGCCCAGAAAGACCACCAAAGAAAGGCTGGTGGCACAAACTCAAGTATGGAGATCCTCTTGCACTGTCTTTTTACAGTGTTGGTTTCATTTTAGGTATATTTGGTCTATTGTGTTTTACAACTGTTTTCACTTACTCTTAGGTTATACAACTTAGTTATGAGTACACAGTGATAGATGGAAGTCTCCTGTCTTTGTGATAATGATAGTCCTTTTTCACTTCCTTTTGAGAACATTGGAAGGATACCTAAACTTGGAGACTCCTTCCACCCTTAAATAAAAGGCTTAATGAAGCAGTAATATATTGAACTTACTTTCTGGTTTTTGCTTTAGTATCCAGTGCAGTGTAGGTGGTGAGTCCAGCCCATTCAGGGGAAGCTCATGCATGCCTGAAAGAACTGTGAAAGAACTGTCTGCCTCTTGTCTTCCTAATATTTTTATTTCTTCTTCAGGAACGGTACTCTGGAGACAGGTGGATGTCCCTCTATGTCCACCCTGTAGGTTCCAACATCTCTGACCCTTTTCTTACAGAGACAGAGCAGCACTCACAACCAGCTTATACGGTGTATTTTGGAGCACCACAAAATCAGTTGTTGAACTTTTTTCTCATCCTTGCCTTATTTCTTTAAAGTAACAGTGATATGATCTACATGCTTCCCCGATGTCTTCAGATGCAGAACATTAGATTGTCTGGTGAGAGCTCACTCAGTGCTGACTGTCTTACACCTTTCTTTCCTCCCAGGCCAGATTGCTGTTTCTCCCTCCAGCCAGCACCAGGTTCTAAGTGCTGGCAGGTGCTGGTCACTCGTGATCTTCTACCACAGCCCTTTATACCTCAGTCGTACTGGGCAGCCTTGAGGGGTCCCTTTCAGGCATTCTGACAGGAACCTCAGGAGGAGGGAATGACTGTCACACATTTGCTCTTTCCAGCTGTCATTTCAAACTATGGTGGTGGAAAGGGTGAGGGGTATTTTTCCCTTTGTGAACCATTTTGTGGTTCAGCAATCTTGTATTTTTCCTCTGGTGCATGTTGGAGGAAGGAGCCTGCCTCTCAGTACCATAGCTTATTTTCCTGTCATAAGCAAAAGGGGACATTCTAGGAATATTTTCTTGAATAGATTTTTTTCTGAGAAAACATCTCTAGCAAGCAGACTATCAGGAATTGGCTTTCCTCCTTTGGCATGTAGGACAGCTTATTACTTTTCTCATTTCTCCAGCTTCAGTGCTTCTTTGAGTATATTGTCCAAGGTCAAAAGGACATTAAAAAAGGGTGAAGAATCTAGTTACTAGAGTATTTTCAATCTCTTCTATACCCTTTCCTTCCTTGAAAGGTCAGGTTCTTGGTAGACACTCAACTATAGGTTTGCTGAACAGGCCATGATGACCCCAGGTCTTGGCAGAGCCCAGCTGTTTGGTTAGAAAAGAGGATCTTGAAGAATATGGGAAGTCATACTTCTCTGAGAAGATTGGGAGAGAAGTACTTTCTCTCTGCTCAAGAGTTTTAGAGGTTCTGACTCTGTTGCTTGCATCTTGAGGTTAAGACTGTGCTTCTACAAGTAACATTAAGACCATTGAAACTTCAGCCTTTTTTTTCCCCATCTTAAGATATTTTTTTAATTTTCTTTTTTTTTAATTTTTAAAGCAGCTTCTCCTTATGAATTTCTGGAGAAAACTTAGTAATTTTGAAAGGAAATTAGAGGCTGAATAAGAAATTTTAAGTTTTCTGATCTCCTGATTTTTTGGAATGTATGTAGTTTGCAGGACAAACATGTTTCTATGTGTATGACTGTATCATCCTTGTATTGCTGCTCTCAGTCTAAAAAGCTGCTTCAAAAATTACCTCTTTGCTCTTGTTGCTCTCTCAAGTTACTAGTCAAATTTTGGAACTTCCTGTGCCTTACCTTTCTTGGAAGAGTTCATAGCTTTGATTTCCAGTACAGTTCTCTAATACCTCTTTTCTTGCTTGCTGTGCTGAAGTCTAAAGCTTTAAATGGTCCCGTCTCCTTTGCTTACTCAGCCTTGAGCGTTTTTCCATGCAGCTTTCTATTTCTGATGCAACTCAACAAGCTATGCTGGTCATTTCTCCAGGAGTTGTGTTTCCTGCTTGAGATTTATAAGTGTACTATACACACAATTAGTAAAATAAACCAAAAGACCTGTTTTTAAGCCATTCCTGAAAGTCAGATCCCATTGAGGTAGCAGCGGCAGGCATGCGCATGTCCTGTTGAGCATGGGCAGGAGGAGGCAGGGAGCAATGAGGATTGCTGCCACACACTGCTCTGGTTGTTCTGGCTGGAAGCATCCAACCCTGATTTAGTTGAATAACTCTGATGATAGGAATACCAGAAAAGCAAATTTGTATGTTTGCACTGCTTTATATTTAGCGAAGAGTGGAATTTGATGGAAAAGCGATCCATGCTATTTGAGGTGGTCGGAGAAACTGATTCTTTTGTACCCATATTTGAGCATTAGGGCATAAATAACAGACCAGTGAGGCTCAGGTCAACCATGATGTAACTGGTTAAGCACCTGGATTAATGCCATAAGGGCTGGGTTCAGTTCTCCGTTTTGTGCCATCTCTTTCTTTTAATACTGATTTTGGTGGAGTGGATCACAAATGATGGCACCATGACATCAAGTTTGCATGCTGTTATTTTCCTTTTAAGAGAGAGATTTCAATAAAGATACTTGCATACTATTTTTACCTGGGGGAAAAAGTAAACTTTGATTTTCTTATTTGTATTTAACAGGTCTGTATATGATGACCAACCAAATGCACATCAGAGGTTTATGGAAAAGCTAGATGCCTGCATACGTAACCATGACAGGGAGATAGAAAAGATGTGCAATTTTCACCATCAGGGCTTTGTGGATGCTATTACAGAACTTCTTAAAGTTAGGGCTGATGCAGAAAAATTGAAGGTAAGGAACTAGTTTTTCAGAGTTTCATATATCATTGTCTTTCAGTTTAAAAGAAGGAACTTGACTCTTTTATTGAAGAATAAGAGTTTAGTGATCACATACACTCTGATGTTTGCAACAGTTTTTTAAAAGTGCATTATTTAGAATTTGTGATTAGAGCTGTGTTGCCTGATCCAGTAATTTACATTTACAAAGTTAAATATTTTTTTAGGTCTAATTCTTACTTTTTTTAAAGTATGTTTTCAGAAAATGATACCAAATTATTTTGCCCTCTTTAAAGGCTTTTTCAGAAGGTAAAGAGCAAGAAATGGTAAAATCAGTATTTCTTACATAGGTCTTTTTCTAATCATGCCTTTATACGTCAGACCTCAGAAAAAATTAAAATAGTTTAGAAAAATAAGAGTATTGCAATTATGCATGAAAAATAAATTTTCTTTACTCTGTAACGAGTAGGAGAATAGGTAGAGTTAGTAGTTTTCATTAGAAATGAAAACAAAGATTTACTTCGAAATCAGAACGCAGAATAGTGAATTATGAGATCCATCCCTTTTAGCTCTCTTTACACTTTTGAGAGCAAAATATGCACACCAGACAGAATGAGCATAGTTCATCAGAGGTTATGATTAGAAGAGCATTATATAAAGGATATTCAGATAACAAGAGACCAAATACAGCATCAATGAGGTCATTGAGCATCTTTGTTCAGAAATTAATGAGATTTTTAATAAACTAGAATGTGCTTCCTTATTATGATGACCTAATGAGTCACTTACTATGTGGGAAAATCTGAGGTCGAGCTTTGCCTGCACCTGCAGCATTAAAATGTTGCTGTGGTTTGGAGATTTCCACGTTTGATGTTAATCAACCACCCAGTGTTTGCATTCAGCAAAGTATGAATGTTTAATTACCATAAAATGCAATCACCATTTCTTACAGACAATGAATGGCCCATAGAGCTCATTGAGGTTATCAAAAAGGGACCAGTGGTCAATTGGGTCAATGATTTGAATTGTTTGACAGACCTACAGAAACAAGGAAAGTTCAAAAATCCCAAGTAAATTTGAGAAGTTTGCCACAGAATCTGTTAGAAAGAACTGTCATAAGTAATTGAAGTTAACAAAAGCCCTTTGCGATCAAAAGTTCAAGTTCAAGCTGTAGAGTTAATTTGAATTTGCATTTCTTTGTTCTAAGTTTCTCATGAAGCATGATCTGATTACAAGGGTGAGCAGTCACATCAGGGCAATATATGCATATTTGTCTAACAAAGGTGAAATTATTTTTAAGGTCCAAGTTACTGATACCAACCGAAGGCTTCAGGATGCTGGGAAAGAGGTGAGAAAATGGTGCTTCCTATATGGGCATTATGAATATTTGTAGCAAATTAAATTGGTTTGCATAATTTAATTGTGATTTTCTTTTTTAAATCTCTAAGGTGATAGCCCAAACAGAGGAAATCATCCGATGTAGAGTGCAGCAACGGAATATTGCAACAGTTGTGGAAAAACTACAATTGTGTCTTCCAGGTGAGTGACCCATACCTACATATGATCACAAATTGAATAAAGTAAGTCACAATAGCCAAAATGGAAAAGAAATTTGTTTTTTAAATTGTGATCCTGTAACAGCCACTTGAACAAAAAAATTAATGGGTTTTAAAAAGATGCCCTCGTGTAGTTTCCATGTCTTTTACAATATTTGATGCAGAGCAATTATGCTTCTTTGTGAGAAGAAAGTGAGACAGATATAAATGATGCAAATAATGTAGCCACATGCAGCCTTGAAAGAAGTAATATTTTTAATATTATAAACAATGAATTTGTTGCTTGAGGGTGGTTTTTACTGTTTGAATTCTAGGGAAAATGCTAATGGTTCTATTTCAGCGTTGTACTTTTAGCTCTGTGTCATTACAGGCTTTTTTTTTTTTTAAATAAACCAAAAGGCTCTAAAAGATGTTTCAGAAAGGTACTGTTATAGGATTGCACACAGCCCTGTAAGGGTTTTATCCTGTTTGTGATACTGGCATAAGACACATTTGAGAATATTTCTTTGTAAAGTCTTGTTGTTGACTTGTTATGAGTACAGTAGGTGGTACTGTTGCCATTTAATGGAGACAGGTCATACATAGCCTGGTAATGCAGATAAAATATAGTATACAGTAAGTTGATTAATAGGCTTGATTATATATAGTAAAAGTATAGTATACAGTAAGTTGATTAATAGGCTTGATTATATATAGTGTCTACTTTTTTGTTTAATCTTAACAGTTTTCAAATGAAAAACTAATTAAAAGTTAATTTCTTTTTTCTTTCTTAGCTGCATTCTAGGGTTGGGGTTTTTTGGATAGATTTATCACATTCATGTTTTGGTAGGAATTAAATAAGATAAATGTAGCATATTCTTTTCTATGGTTTATTTTGCCCTTTACCATACATATTTTCCTCTTTTATTAACTAATGCCACAATAAGATCCATGGGCTAATCTGCTTGTTTTTATGCAGTGCTGGAAATGTACAGCAAACTAAAAGAGCAGATGAAGGTAAAAAGGTGAGTGAATTTACCTCTATGAGTAAAATACAACTTTTGTAAGTAAACTGATAGAACACTTACTTGTGTACATTAGTTTGCTATTCTAAGTCCCGCAGCTTGATACATGTAATCGTCTTTTCATAATACCTTTGTCTGTGTTTCAAGGATGTCACTGACTGACAAGTATTATATTAAATACAAAGACAATTTGGATCTTAGCGAGAGCCATTAAAAAGAATGTTTACTTAAATAAGCATAACATGCAGTGAAATTGTGTATTATTTTTTTAATATTTAAAACAGTTTAAGAAGCAAGAATAATATTCTTAGGGAGTAAAGATCTTACATTAGTCAGTATTAATGTACTTTGAATCATGATATACTTAAATCAAATTCATAATCCAAGAAAAAAGGATGTTTCACTTCATATACCTTTCTTTAGACTTACCTAGTGTCTCTGTGCTGATTTTTTGTGTACATGAGACTGTGAGAATGAAGTGCAGAAGATGTGTTGTGGTTTGTTCCCCTCCTGTCTCTCGTTCTTCCCTCCCCGTGACAAAATGACTTGTTAAAAAAATTAATTAAAACCGTAATTAAAAGTAAATTTCTAAAATAATGGTTTCTAACTGGTATGTGAGCAATTGGTCCTTCCTCTGTTGTGTCTTCACTTCTGTCTTCTCAGAGACCCACTCACTGCTGCTGTAGCTGTCATCCCATCCCACTATTTCCTCTGAATGGGACACTGGTTTGACATCTGCTTAGAGTAGCTGGCAGCGTGGTACGGTGCTCTTGGAGCAGCTCAGCAGACAGATGTAAACAGTCCAGTGCCCTTGCTACTCGGTCAGACGACAGAGTGCAGGGTGTGCTGTCTAAATCACACCACTTCCTTCTGTGAGGTGCTCTGTAGAGTGTGCTACGTTTACCATGTTGTAAAAATACAAACACGGGGATCAAAGGTATTCTGCAATTCCCTTGTTCTGTCAGGCGAGACGAGCAGCATCGCAGTTTTAGAACTGCAAGGGAAGTTGTTCCTAATGTCATTATGGAGGGTCACTTAGGTGAGATAAAATTGCAGACGGCATTTAGCATTTTGACTCCATGTTTGCTAGTAGTTTTGTAGAGTCCGCTGATGGTTGGATGTGCTTTCTGAGAAATCATCAGTACTCTTTAAATCTAGAACTAAATTTCTATTATTTATGGGATTTAGATCTGATAATTCTCCTGTGTAAGGAGTTGTCAGGCAGGAAGTCTTAAAAGTCAAAGGATGATACATTGAATTGCGGGGTTTGGACATGTCATTGTCATACCATAAAAAGATCTAAGGGAGAGGGGATATGGCATAGCTTTGATGTACCATACCTTGAAATCACATGGAGTGCAGAAGGTTTAGAATCTGCTGCAGGCTATTGCTCCAGCTCAGGTATCTCTTTCATTAGCTATGCTATGGTTGCTACTTCGCCTGTGACTTGCAATTCCCCATAATACAGCCTAGAGGTGGCTATCCCGTGGAACTTGCAGGTAATTCAAATGTAATTTCCATGTGGCTTAGCAGGCAACAAATCCAAAGGCTGAGTGTATCCTGGCCTTTATCACTAAGTAATTGAGCAATAGCAAGGATATTCATAGCATCAGTGCAAAGAACTGATGGCTGATGTGTGCAGGTATAAGGAATTTCAAAACTGACCTTCCTAAGTTTTGCTGTGAAACTTTCCTGGAAGAGTCAGAGAGAGGAGCATTCACAATCCCTGTCTTAACAGAACAATGAAGGATGTTTATTTTAGGTGAAGATAATTTTTCTCATAGACCTTCACTGAGGTTTGTTAATGCAACAGAACTACCATTGGGCTTCAAAGAAAAAAAAAAAAAGACCTCTTTTCCTTGACTTTCTCTGCTTGCAGTCTTTTAGAATATGTGTTCCATTGTCGTAGTGCATCTTGTGCTATGAATTTCTAATGTTTAAAGGAAGAGAAGAAGAACGTGTGGATATTCTATATTTTTGGGGGATAGTTGTTTAAGGGTAAAGGTTGGAATTCCATTTTCTTTTTTCCATAGCAGACACCTTTGAGGATAATGCAGGATTTTATGTCTGGAATACATACTGGTTTATGCAGATGGAATGGGGGGTTACTGAGGAGTCCAAAAAGCCATCTGTTGATAGCAGCTTTTGGGCCCTGTGAACATGGGCTCCATTTGAACTGATGACCTAGAGGTGAAAGGTTCTGTATCCTATTTATCTGTCTCCTGAGCCATGCATAACACAGGTTGACAAGAACTATAGTTGTGAGAGGAAGTAACTGTGGAATCTGCTCAAAACCGGCACAGCTGGCTGGAAAGAGTTATGGAGGGTTTAAAGTCTTAGCTGAGGAAGCACAAGGAAGAGGTGTGGGTTTTCCACTGCTCTCCAAAACATCTAGTTGGGGCTATGCATTTAGGTTGAACTACCTAGATCTTTAATTTTAAGTTGGACATACGGTCATCACACATTTTATACAGCACTGTTACCATGGCCTATGTATTTGGGTTTTGATGTGCATCCCTGGAGAAAGTTCCCAGCTGCTTCAAGAGATTGTGATCTAATTGGGAATTGTTAGAACTGCTGTTTTTGCAAATGTTCTTCCACAATGAGTATTACCAAAAAAACCCCAAACAAACCAAAACCCAAACCACCCATACAATGAAAACAAATAAATAAATAAATCTGGTAAGGTTGTTGCTAAATCTTCTTGAATCTGCTGTGAGAAGGACTAAACAAAGAGTATGGTCTTTCAGAGTGAGCTTTTTGCACTGGAAGACTTGAATTTGTTTTCTGACCTTACTATAAGCTTTCTTCCAAATGGTGGGTAAGACAGAGTTTATTAGTTATTTAGGTTACTAAGTCTCACTGAGACAGTCATGCAGCCTTTCTCTCCATAAACCTTCCAAGTATTCAAATAAACCTGAAGACATAAAGGATGCAAATAGAAAAACTTCATACTTTATATAATTTGGTTTTACCCATGTCTGTATCATTTAAAACATAGCTTAATGCTTTGTGTACACTAAAGTAATGGTCACTTTCTTTTTCTTTTGGATTTTTTTGTGTGTTGATGTTTCACATTCTAATAAAGCTCTGACTCACCTGTGCCTGGGACTTGGACATTTTGTAAAACTCCAGCTCAATTTTAGAATAAGGTGATGCAAAACACTAATATTAGTCTTCTGGAGTATTTTGTTGGGGATTTTTTTTTGGTTGTTGGGGTGGTTTTTTCCTTTTTTTTTCCCCCCCCTCTTTTTTTTTTTTCAGCCCTGCTTCATGCTGGTTTTAGAGGTTTCCATTTTTATAGGTTGGAGATGTTAGTAAATCCATCTTATAATTTTCTGGTTCTGATGACAAGATGGATCGGTTCTGGACAGTCTTATCATATGACTTCTATTAGTGTTTCAAACTAGTTTCAAAGCTTACATTATAAATTTTGCTTTTGGCAACATATTCTTACAAGATTAGCTCAGAAGTATAGACAGAACTGCAATATTTATATGAGAAAATAACATTGAAGCTAGTTCTTTAACTCATATATAGTCAAATGGGCAATCATTACCTTATACGATTGATAATATTTGATGGGAACAAATAATATTGCTGGCAAAATCTTCAGCATTAAGTTAAATCTATGGAATGTTTTTAAAGCAAATTATACAAATACATCATTCCATGAAATGATATGCAAAACTTTGTAGTTTAAACCTTTACCTGCAGGTGACCTTCAAATTAATAAGACTTCAGTGCTTTATCAGAACAGATGTTAAAAGGACCAGGTCCTGAGCTCCATATATATAATTAGTAAGGGACTCCAGAATGGATTTAAAATGGATTATGTTAATTTTGATCTTAGAGACAGCAGTCAAAAACCTTCCAGATGAACTAACAGTGTTCTGATAAGCTGATCTGTATAATTTAAATAAAATCCTTTTATATGATTTTGATGCTATTATGGTTTTATTCCCCAGAAGTCTCACCATGTGGCACTCTTGGTCATTTTCTATTTAAAAAAACCCAAAACCCACACACTTAAACCCCCCCAGACTCCTTATCTGCAACATTCCCATTGCCTTATGTATATTTTATATAAACCAAGTATATAATAAACAAAAGCTCCTAATTTACACTTGAAGCCTCTTTATTTGCAGGCTCCTGAAAGCAGTTCTTTTCTGGAATAAAGGAGAAGATTTTTCCCATCCTCCAGCTATGCTGAACTGTTAGCTTAGAAATGCAATTGAGAAAATTCAAAACAATGTGTTTATTTCAGAATGAAACAAGAAGTTATGACTGAAGTATTAATAATTTATTACTGTTTGTCTACCGAGGGGAGCCAGCAGCTTGAACTGTATTTCAGTTTGAAAGTGTTTACTTAAAATATCTACAAAGTATTATCCAGAAGCAAAAGAACTGGAAATGACACTTTTCCAGGTTGTCTTGAACATTTGAAGGGACTTTGCTTATATTCAGCTTTTCTCTTTCAAAACTATTTGGTAATTTTCCAATGCTGACTCTGTAGGACTTTCAGGAAGACAAAGGAACTAAGGTGATGATGCAAAAAGCTAAAAATGGGCTATGGATATTACTTTGTGTTTGTAGAAAGAAAGGATTCGAACTAACAGCCACTTAACTCAGTCTATCTTGTTTTTTCCACTTACCCTGTTCAAGACCAAGCTAGCACGCATTGGTTCACCTTATTCTGTTATAATAGGTCAGAATAAATATATTTTTGTAGAAGTCTCCTGGGCTGAGTGGCTGATAAGAATTCTGTGTAAAGGAGAATTATTGTCACATGTACAACTAATTGCTGTCCTATTCATGTTTAATCTGTTTGCTGCACCTGTCTTTAAAATGTTGTTGAAATCACAGATTTGTTGATCGTGGTGTTTCTGTTTATTGCTTTCTTAGTTTAGTTGCCTATCCCAGAATTGGCCTACTTCTATTTTGCTTCATCTTTTCAATGAAGTAAGATTTTTCACAAGCATTCTGCCTTAGGAGCCTGTGTGACATTTGAAAATAAAAGAGAGAAGAGTATTGACTTCAGGAACAGGCAAATAGAAGCCTGACTCAGCTCTGAATCACCTCCTCGTGGTGTTCATAACTCTACTGATTGTAAGAGGAAGCATGGAAAACTGATTTCCCTCAATTAAAATTTCCTTCTTTAGATGTTTCCCTAAATCAGCTGAAAGCCACAAAATTTTACCTATGCTATAGGCCTGAAATTGATAAATGGTTTTAGCAAGTAAGTCTTGTTTCCACAACCCCTGTGATCTATGATAGAACTGAGAGTGAAATCAGGTAAATAACTGTAGTAGTAGAGTTGATATGTCAGTATTTGGTAGCTTTCTGTTGTCAAAATTGTTTGAGTCTTTTTTTATTTTTTAATTTTATTTTGCAGTTAAATCACATTTTATGCTTAGTTTTAACTTGAGTATTTCTTTAAACTCATTGTCCCTTATATAAAATTTCACAACATCATTATGAATGTACTGTACAACATCGGCATTGTGTATGGACATGAGAGGAAGTATTTCTTGGTGTTTTGGTTTTTTCCCCCTCTCAGGGCATATCTTTGATATTTCTGCTACGAATAGGCTAACAGAACATGGAAGAATAGAGAACATTATGGAATCTTTGTTGTGTTTGGTTTGGTTTTTTTTTTTTTAAAACCCTCTGACCTTGATGCTTGTTCAAAGCAGTTGTTTTCTCGGTGGGATATACGTTATTTTCTCGGAAGAGTAAATAGATTAATGGTTCACAGCGAAGTATGTTATACTGCTAGAAAAAACATTGCTTGAGACAAGTGTTTGCATGTCTTTTCCAACTAAGGATGGTGGGAAGAGGGTGTGTGTGTGTATGTTCACATATACCTAAAGAATGTAGACACATGCAGGCAGAGTTTTCCAAGATTTTTTTCATTGTTTGGTGCATATACTGTGATGTTGGGTGATTGGCTATTTGTGTTGCAGAAAAAAAAAACCCTCATAAAAACCCCTAATAAATTCAATCTAGAAGGGAAGAGAATTGTTATGACTTTAACTCCTCCAGTCTGCAAGATGCTTCATGTGATGTTAGGAATGTACTGATCAGAACAGCTAATACCATAGGAACCTACCTAAAATTCTGACTTGGCTGAGTCACTCTGAAAGTTCACTGTTTTGTTTCCAAAGTGAAGCATTGTATGGATGACCTGTTGTTTGTTAATTTTTCTAAGAACAGAATTAATATTAGATAGATATTAATTGTGTGTATGATATTGATATCCTATAATACTTGATAAACGAAGTATTTTAGTAAAATCCAATAAAAAACTACATAATTTGATTTTAATCTCTTTGTAGATATTATTCTGCTTTAAAAACAATGGAACAGCTAGAAAATCTGTATCTACCTAGAGTTAGCCAATACCGTTTTTGCCAGATAATGATAGAAAATCTTCCAAAACTGCGTGAAGAAATAAAAGAAATATCCATGTCAGACCTCAAGGATTTCTTAGAGAGTATTCGAAAGCATTCTGACAGAATTGGGGAAACTGCCATGAAGCAGGTAAGCTGACCTAACAGGATGACTTCAGGCCTGTTATATACTGAATGTGTAGATAGTATGATAGTCTGAGGTTGGCCCGAAAAATTTGTTTAAGGTTTATAGACATCACATAGGCCTTTGAGTAAGGATAGAGATCTGTGAAATGCTTGCTATCAGCTTGGGTAATTTTATGTCCTGGATATGAAGTTGTCAGTTCTAGAGGTCCCTGGCTAACACAGGAAGCAGCAGCATGACACCTCAGTAGCATCAAACTTTCTTTCCAAATTTGTGCCTGTGTCCTAGAGAAAAAGAAGTTTCCTCCCTGGGAACGGAAAAAAATGCAAAAAATTGTGAAATACTTAAGGTAGTCAACTCCCAGAGTCTGTAACTCATCAGCTACTACACCAAAACAAAGAGCAGCCCACCTGACCAGCCAGCAAGGATAAATGAGACTAAAAGAAACATTGAAATAACTGCCTAGTTCTTTCTAAAGTACTGCTGATGCAGGGCATGGCATTGGCATATTACCCTCCAAAGTGGGCACAGAATAGAGGAGAGAGGGCAGAGGACTGAGGTGAGAGCTGGGGTGAGATTGAGGCAGCTGGAACTCTTGCCTGTTCCATCACAAAATAATCTGCTGCTGGTACTGGGCAAGCTTTAAAGCAGTTAATGCTTCTAAAATTTATTTGGAGAGCAAGTAAAGTTTTCATTTGACTTACTGTTGTGCAGAGTTCAAGTTGGGTTGCCATTTGTCATCTAAGATTCCTGTAAAATGCAGCATGTGATTCTTTTATTTACAATAATGAAAGATGATACTGTACTACCTTGTTGCATTTCTTTCAGTAATAAGGACAATATAGTGCATTTGGCTTCTGTAGCTGACTGCTGCTCACTAAGGCTTAACAGAAGACAGCAAACAAATAGCTGGAAACTCTGTGATAACTGTATTTCATTTAAATATTGATTGTCTGTTTGCAATTCGTGATCAGGAAGATTACCAATTACTCTTAATTTTATCCACCTTTAAAATTGAATTCTGGGGATTAGGGAAAAATTATGCAGAAATTAGCTACTGAACTAATTTGTCATCCCGAATCACTTTAGGACAGAATCGTTGGTATAGGCTGAGAACACGCATCCTGCAGTTATACTGATGTGTGTTCAATAGCACCACCTGCTATTTATATCCTAGCATATGCTGATCAGTGATGAAATTGGTATTACATCCCACTTCATTGGTACTACTTTTAAAACAGGCACAGCAGCAGAAAACCTTTAGTACCACTCTTCAGAAGCAGAATAATGCAAACTATGGTCGGAATATGCATTTAGGTAGAAACAGAATGTTGGAATCCAAGAATGAAATCACATTGAAGCGAACATTTGAAGAAGATGATGAGCATGAAGAAGAGGTAACTATACTAGTCAGTACATCTTATTTAAAGTGATTTTTGTAGGTTTATTGAACAAAACTTGGAGTACGCTGTCTGTAGATGGTCAGTGTGAGGAAGGACTACGGAATACTTTCAAGGGACACCAGTCCACATCAGTATATTAGGGGGAGTAAATAATGCCAGAATATTAGTTGTATCAATGCTAGCTTTAGCATCATGTCTGGGGCCATTCAAACTCTTTCAGCTGCTGAATACTCTGTATTCATAAATCGAATAAAACAACAAGTATTTAGACCTTTAAATCTGGTGCTCTGAAATCACAGTGAAAGTTGTGTGGTCTTATAATACAAATAAAATCTAGTACTGTAATACAAAGGGAGGGGAGAGTCGAACAATTAGTTTACTCTTTTGTGATAGAACCCATCCATTTCTGGGTCCTGAAATTACTGGCAAAAAGACTGATGCAGTTACTCTTCAAGTCACTAAAGCAAACTCCCCTTACCATTTTCTAAGAAAACAGTAGTTTAGAAGCCATAAAACCTGTCAACAGAGTTGGCTTTTTCTGGTCCAAATTTAGTCATGCTTTTGTATTCAACCCCCATGTATTTCTATATTCATCTGAACTTTAGATTCATGTCTAGTAGCTTCAAACTCTACCAAATTACTAATATTCCCCTAAATCTGCAAAATTTTTAAGAAACCAAGTTGAGCAGTTGTAAAATTAAGGGCACTAAACCAGAATTTAAAAGGAAGGAATAATTCCTTACCACTAAGATGTCTTATGAAGTATTTATTAAGTGGACAAGTTCTGCTGGTAATGTTGCAGATTATATGGTTTTTATGCTTTATATACTTTTCATTTCCCTTTCCTTCTTCAGGTTTTAACTGCTCAAGATCTTGTAGACTTTTCTCCAGTCTATAGGTGTTTGCACATCTACTCAGTTTTGGTATGTATTAAGGTGACTTCAAAAAGATACTTTAGTTTTTGAAGCGGAATGTTTATTGTCTTATTTTTAATACTCTAGTAGTTCCCAAGCAAACATATTGCTTCTAGTAGTATCAGTTCTTGATGAACCAGATGAGATGGGTAGGGTATGAATACTCAGGGTACAACTGTATGTTTTATTTTATGTGCATAATAAAGGACACACAAGACATTAATTACATGCATGTTCTTAAGAATATATGTAAAATATGCATGTCTGTCTCAGTAGTTGTATCGAAACTTTTGCAGTTCCCCCAAGTGTTCCATGTTACCCAAATGTCTGGGGGGATATGATAAATATTATAAAACAAGGGAATGTTGAGTCAGAATCTTGTGAAAATCAGAAAAGCAGAGCAAAGTAGCAAGCAGAAACTGGAGATTGTGACAGACTCTGCTCAGGCAGATTACTGGGTTCACTGGCAGAGACACAATAGCCTGTTTTAGGTGCTGTAAAATGAATACAATATACAAGCTAACAAGGGTGAAAACTTTTTTTGGGAAACATGGTGAGAAAATATTTTTTATTTTCTCACTTTTCCTACTTCTCTGTTATTTCTGAAGTCTGATTACCTATAGAATAAATATCAGGGGCATATAGAAGAAGTAATTCTAAGTATTGGTAATCCTACAATCTCAGCTGGACTTGGCTTCAAGCATTCATGCTGGGTTATCTTCTTTCTGTGGAATCCTTGTAGCTGTGTAAATTGAAATCTTTTATCTTGAAATAATGTTTAAAGTGTTATTCACTGTTACATCTTTTTTTAAAAGAAGGAGTCCAAACAAAAGCATCAGTATTTACATCAGTAAATATTCATCTCAATGAAGAGAACAGGAAGGAATAAAAGTGAGACTGCCAGAACTATTAAAAAAAGAGTGGAGCATTTCTTTTTTTATAGAGGAAATAAGTGTGAAATAACATATAAAAAAGAATGTGTAAAATTAAATACACCAGTAGACAATATCCGCTTATTCTTCCTTTAGTATAATAAAAGAATCATAGATGTAATCATACATTACATTTTTATATCAAGGATTTATATCACAGCAGTTGTTACATTCTTAGTGAATTCTTTATCTGCTACAAAGCTCTAGAAAATATTTTATTTTTATGTAGGACAAACAGTTCTACTCTGCTTCTTCATATTGAAGAAGAAAACAGGATTTTATGTACCTCTGAATACTACAGAGCTTGTGATTGCAACCTGGTGATTGCAAGATACATATGTGCCAAACATAGACTGTATATATTGATAAGTAACCTTTCTTTAGGCTAGAAACTTCTGGGCAATATATATAAAGAGCTTTTTTATCCCATATATTATGTGAGATGCTGTATATTTAAATTCTGATGAAAACACCCTTGATCCTTTTGCCATGTAATGTTACCTTTTAACAAAATGCTATATAGCAGTATAAAATAAATGTAACTATGGTGTGAAACAATACTTGATATATGAGCAATATTACTAGAATGTATAGCCCAACGTGAACTGATTTATTATTTCTATTGATATAAACTTTGAATTTTTGGAAGCTGGGCAAAACAAATGCATTGCTTTGGTACATTTTACCTTCCCTTTCCTGTGCTTATTGAGTGAGTAAATCATGAGGGTTCTTGCTGTGTTCTGCTGATTGCTTTAAAACATCTGTTTAAAATACTCGTTATGCCTGGATTGCTGATCTTGATTGCATAGGATAGCATAGTCTATGAATAATTATGAGATACTTTACATCTCCATTTTTGGTGTGGATTTGAGAAGAACAGCTACTCTCTTCCACTTGAGAAGCTTGTGTCAGGACTGAGTAGAGAATTGGCATTGGAAGTAGGATAGAATAATGGCTCTGGAAGTAGAATAGAATAATGGGTTTGTGCCCCTGAAAACTGTATTGAGTATTTGGGCTGGAGGTGAATGGTTAGTATATCTGACCATTATGTGTTACTATGAATTACAGCACACTGTTGCAACAGAAAATGTTCTAGTAAATTTGCGTCTCAGTTTCAAGTGGATTTTTGGTTTTAAGCCAAGTGTCTTTTTTTTTAATTTTAGATTTTCTTAGGTTAGCAGTATTTCTAAATATGATTAAACATTCATTATGAACTTAAAATACTAAATTTCAGCTTTCTTTGTTATGTCTTATAAAGGAGTTAAGTAATGATGAATTAGTAATATGCAGTTTCTGTAGTAATTTGACTATTTTTTGGAAGCCCAAGTAATGGAATTCTAAGTAGCACTGGCCTAATAATAGGCTCATGAGGTAAAACCAAACCTTAAAAAATGCTAATCTACTTTATTCTGCTTGCATACAAATGATGTTGTGTTCAGTAGGTAGATGAGTCAATGTAGCACTGATTTCAAATGGACAGATGGTTTCTACTGAATGGTCATCTTAATGAGATGGGTAGGATGTCACTTAGATTCCTCACAATATAGTCATTAGGCACAGAGGGTATTGTGCCTTCGAGGACTGTGATAGGAAAAAAATCCAAATCCACAGTCATTATACTTACTAATTCCAAATACAATAATAAAATGTTAAATAAATCTCATGTCTTTATTTTTCTCAAGCAAAGCTAATGCAGGCAGTGTGCACGTGTCATATATTCACAGGAACATTTCTTGTAATTCAACTTTACAATGCAGTTAGTTTCTTGAATAACCTAGAGAAACATTTTTTGAGACAATCAGTTTCAGTTCTAGATTAATAGGTAATCTGCCTTGTCTATAAATATTAATATACTCTGAAAGCGGTAGTTTAAAAACATAGCTATTGCATAAAATGCATATGTTGTGTCATTATTTGATAAAATGTAGACACATGAGCAAAATTTTTATTTACAGTACATTCTGTAGGCTACTTAAAAAAAAGATAATTTCTGTGTATTCCATATATACAGAACTTTGGTGGCGTCAGCTGGGCATCTACATGGTGGAAAAAATGCAAAATATGTGGCTTACTTTAGGAGAATTCTACCCTTAGAAGTGTCTTTCTCATAATGAGACAATGTTCTTGTTTTAACTAGTTTTGTCTTGTTTTAGGGCGATGGAGAAATATTTGAAAATTACTACAGGAAACAAAGAAGGAAACAAGCAAGATTAGTTTTGCAGCCGCAGTCAAGCATGGTAACCAATACTTTTGGTTTTGCATTGACTCGGGTTGTACCTAATACTTAGTGGTATTTTTATTCCTAAACTTGTTTTCTTTTTCACTGAAAGCATGAAACAGTAGAAGGCTATAGAAGATACTTCAGTCAAATTGTAGGGTAAGTTTTCTAAACAGATATTTATTTCAGTTTTACTATATTGATTCTTAATTCACGCTCTGCTCTCCCATTGTCCAAAAACATTCTTGTGCCAGATTCAGTTTCCATGCAGATCATCCAGGTGGTTGTTGCTGGATCTGAGCAGGGAAGCGCATCTAGATTCTACCTGTATGGTGCCCCACGATGACACTCCAGCAGCCTGGGCTCCAGCTGGCATGAAACAAACTTTACACATCTACATGCTGGGCCAAGCAGAACACCAAACTGACCAAAGGATCAATGCTTGAGTGGGGAAGGATTTGACTGTGCTTGTGTGCAAAAGGGTAGAATTTGTTCTGATATTAGAAAACAATAATTTAAGCATTATTTTGTTTTAGTTTCTTTGTAGTAGAAGACCATATTTTACATGTAACCCAAGGATTGGTAACTAGAACATATACTGATGAACTCTGGAACATGGCCCTTTCCAAGATCATTGCTGTTCTTAGAACACATTCAGTAAGTGAGAAGTCCTATCATTATTGCAGTTTAAATCCTTTTACTTCAGAGCTCTTTATATTTAAGGCTGGGGTAGTAACAAAGTGAAAAATTACACTTCTCATGTTTTCTTTTCCTTGTGATTAAAAATTGCTCAGATTTGGGAGAGAGCCTGCCAAGCTTTTGTTTTTCCCAATGGTATCAGGCTGTGATCCACAAGCATGGGCTATTTGCATAATCCTCCACTGATTTACAACTCACTGGGTCTTCCAAACCTTCTCTTAGTCCAGCAGTTTAGAATATGCAGAGTTAATCTGCTGTTATTATTGCAATCCTTCCTCATTAGTCTCAACTGACCTCTTCATTAGATCAGATTGAATAGTTCAGCACTGAAAGCACCACCAGGAAATAGTTCCTAATTATCATTCTAAATGCTGTGTTTCCAAAATAAACTCTACCAGCAAAACCCTTGGAGGTATCTCTTCAGTGCTACAGTAGTAATATATTTATGTTGAAGTAAAAGTATTAGAAAAATCTTCACACAAGTTAGTATGTAATGCTGTATCAACTGAGTATTTCAGTACATTCAGTGTGTGTCTCCTAAAGTTAGGTCCAGTGATGGAAACAGCCACACGCTATTTCTTATTCCTCTGTGAAAACCATTGGAATACTGTTGTTTACTCTAACTGACAGTAAATTGCTTCAGAGTTTACTATTAGTATAACTTTTACTATTGTAAAAAATAGAAGAGTTTTATCTTTACCTTTTTAAAGGTTGCTAGAAGCAGTTCCTTTATGCAATGTCATTTTTATTTTTATTATGATTGATCTGTAATTCGAGGTATATTTTACATTTCATATACACCGATGAAAAGATGGGGTAGAAGTTCTATCTGCAGCTATAGTTTTATTACAGGCCCTTGACTGATCAGTTATACATGGGATGTTCTCATACTTTTTAATTCATTTTAGAGGATTGTGATAAACTGAGATATATTCAGCAATTTTTTAAGCCAAATACTTTGCAAGTTAAGTGGCTGCATATGTATTTATACATCTATGTAAGAATATGGTAATATAAGGGGTAAAAGTAATGTAATCTCTAAAGAACATGTATTTTCAGAGAACATTAGTGCAGAAGGTTAAACTCTCTAGCCTTATCCTTTTACCTGGCTCACTGCCTTAGTAAAAAAAACCTTGGGTTCAATTGTCTTCACTTAGTCCAGCTACATAGAAGTATTTGTTAAAATTTTATTTGAACTATCAGTAGTATAAAAGCTCAGAAAAAGCAAACTGAATTAGGAGATCCAATAAGTATCAGTATGTTGTACTGAGGTGCAGAAACAGCAAACTACCTTTTTTCAGTGGAACCTAAGCACACATCAAAATGCTTTGCTAAATCAACATCAGAGAGGTTTCCACAGTGTCGTGGTTGAATGTGGTTTGAAAATATATGTCCCATGTTTCAAACCCTTTTAAGCAAACCAGAATTTCTCACTTTCAGTCATATTGCAGTGATCCCGACCTTGTTCTGGAACTGAAGAATCTCATTGTAGTATTTGCTGATACTTTGCAGGTACGTATTACATTAGTAATTTAACAGAAATTCCTAGAGGCAAATTTTTCCTTTAGGTGAGTAAGTGCAATGCATTAGGTTTTCCTGACACATATATATGAATCAAGATCAAAATTACACAATAATACCTAGAGGTATATGTATTTCTTGCCTTGGCTCCTCCTTTTCAGTGTTATCAAATTAAGGTATGCATTCTGTGCTATCCAGCTAGCATCCAGTTATTCATATCTGTGTAAAATTAATGTTAGCTTTGTAATTTGTATATGTTTTGATCTTTTATAAATGCTTTATTTCTGATCTTTAACAAGAATAGCATTACGTTAACTCTCTAACTGAAAGACCAAATGAATATCATTGGCAAGTATTCCTGTAGAGTTTAACAGTCTGACAAAAAAGATGAGTTATATGCATAAATATCAAGTTAAAACATTAGAGAAATGAGACAAATTTCTGCTTGAAAACCAAAGGATAGGGATAAAGTATTTGGTAAGAATTTAATATATAATTTTCTAATTGTAGTGGTATGTTTAAAGTACTGTGATTTCTTTTATAGAAATTACAAGATGGAATAATAAGTCTGATCTCAGAGTCTTGAAGTGATGTGGTAGGAATTGAATGTATTAGTTCTTGAATTAGTTCTTGAGGTTGCGAAGAGGTGGTTGTTGGTAACTTCTACCAAGTGCGAAATGATGGAATGAGGAAATGGCCTCAAGTTGCTCCAGGGAAGGTTTAGATTGGATATCAGGAAAAAATTCTTCACCAAAAGGGTTGCTAGACATTGGAGGGGGCTGCCCATGCAGATGGTTGAGTCACCATCCATGGAGGTATTTGAGACAGGTGGACGAGGTGCTTACAGACGTGGTTTAGTGGTGGTATTAGCAGAGTGAGGTTAAAGGTTGTACTTGATGATCTTAAAGGTCTTTTCCAACATAAAATATTCTATGAGTTACCCATCCTTTTCATTTTTATACGTTAGGGCTATGGTTTTCCTGTGAACCGACTATTTGATCTTTTATTTGAGATAAGAGACCAATACAATGAAACACTTCTTAAAAAGTGGTCTGGACTGTTCAGGTTAGTATTTCAAAATAATTGTGACTTCTGTATTGCATCTATTGTTTTTGTCTGCGTTAAATTTTTTGTTTGTTTGTTTGTTTTGTTAGAGTTGTAATTCTGGAAGAATTAATTAACTCAGTATTGTATATGAACTTCTAGTTGGATATGACTAAGACATTCACCACATGTAACTAATATTGAGAAGAAGAGCTGTCGAGTACTGCTTCTGTAGTTAATGGAGTGAAGAAAGGTCTCCAAAGAGATATCACTGAAGAAACATGCAGGAGAGAGACATCTGTTTTTCTTCATAAGGAACCTAATGACCCTTGGCTATTGAAAAAGGTCATTACGTTCCTAATTTAGGTTGTCTTAATGTTTATAGGTAGCTGATAGGTGTATCTCGCTGACAGACCACTGGCACTGCCAGTTCCTCTTCATGTTTTTTTAATGCAGATTGGTTTCCACTTATTCTTGGAAATCACTTGGTTGAGTAAATTGTAAACACAGGAATAAGCAGCCTGGGACTGTACTCCAAAGTCTGTTTGTAGATAGGGTGTGATGTCTACATGTGCACCAATTGTTTACCATAAAATACACTACATTATATTACAGAAAACCTTAAAATTACATTGACCACTTGAGGTTCTCAAGCTCTCAAGCCTTCTAGTATAGTCATTTGACTACTAGAAAAGTCCAGAGGGCATTTAATGGTGTGGCCATGTGCCTAGTTGAAGTTCCCTGAATCATTTCTATTGATTGTGTGTAGCTTTGGTACCTAAGTGAGACTCTGAATATCTACTTTAGTGTAGGCAAAGTGTAGGCTAACATAATAAGTATCTCATTATGGTGTACCCTGGAGTAGACTAGTTGATCTGAAGTTCCTTTGCTGTATAATGCTTTGAGTCATACATATTAAAACTCTTGCAGCTATTTTAGACACGGTATAAAGAGTTAGCTTATACAAGGTACTTTCAAGTTTATCTAAAATTAGTTTGGATGTCTGAAAATATGATGGTTGCAGCTCATAACTTTCTGAAGCTGCACGCCTAAGTGTGGGAGTAAAATTTATATTCATTTATATGTTTTAACACTGCAAAATACTGTAAATTAGTTACATGTCCTAAATTTTTCACTTTAACTAATTCACCAGGGATATTTTTGAAGCGGACAACTACAGCCCTATTCCTGTAGCAAATGAAGAGGAATACAGAATAGTTATAAGCAAATTTCCTTTTCAAGATCCAGAACTTGATAAGGTAAAGAAAAGTTTTATGTTAATAAAGTTTCCTGAAATCCAATTATGAACACTTGGGACAGTAATGATTTTTATAATTAAAAAGCAATTAAAATTTGAAAAGCTAGGTAGATTAAGAGGCTAAATCACCTTCTTTGTGTGTAATTATCTAGTCATAAATAAAGATGAAAATTAAAGCTTTAGTCATTTGCTCTGACATTTGAGTGAATAATGAAACCCACTGTTTTGTAAACAAATTAATAATAGACTTTAATTGATACAGTCTTTATGTAATTATAATACTGTCTGTCTTTAGTTAAATTCTGTTGCAACTCATTGCGTTTAGTAATTCACGGTATATTTATATGCTGTAGTATTGCAAAAGTACATGTAAAAGGGAGTTCTGTTAGAGACAGCAACCTTTGTATTTCACTTTTAAAATTAATTATTTGTGTTTGACAATGTGGGGCAAAATAAACATGAAGAGACTGTAAATAATTCTGCAGTAGTAACATTACAATAGGATATTCTTCTATAGCCTCTTTCACTACAAGCTCTTTTCACAGAAAGGTGATTAATATGTTCTGTACTTCAAATACGGTTTTGGTAATATCAATCAAGAAATAACAGGCCTGTGGTGGAGTCTGTAGAGGGGAACTAAATCTAAGGACCATATGACAGTGGGAGTAACTGTTGTAGAGGGAAACTGGTTTAGACATGATCCATCACTACAGATATCTGCAAAAGTAAAAAGATACTCTAATTCTGCAATTCAGCAGGGATTTACCAGGCAAGTGTAACAGCTGCATGTCATTAATATGGTATTACAGTGTAAATGAAAAACTAACGGTGGGGTTTATGCTGATTTTTGGGTGAGACTCCAGAGTGCTTGCTGGATGCTTTCTTCCCTCAAATTCATTTACTTAGCCATTATAACACTACAATAAGATAAACAGAATGGAAATCCCTTAATGTGTTGGAAGTATACCGGGTACTATTTAGCATGACATATTTTGCTAATAAATCGCACAGATTTTTAACTTTGAATAATTTTATCTGCTAACCTCTTTCACTCTGTCCGATGTATCAGCATGTATGTACGGACATTACTTGTGTAGGCATGTGTATTTACATATATGTATGATTAATACAAAGCTTTGGCTCTTATTTCACCAGAAGGGAAATGTATTCTCTGTACCCAACAATTTCCATTTTGGTTTAATCCCACAGAGTGGGATTTTTACTTCATAGTGAGCAGTGCTTTTTATAGATATTTTATGGGCAGAATCTCACTGATGCTTAGTTTTTGGGCTGGTGAGCTTGAGAAAAAAGCTGGGAATCAGGTTGGATTCTGTTCCCAACTCTATCGTTGACCAGCTGCGTGGTGCTGATATGTCAGTTCACATCTCTCTGTCCTTGTTAATTCATTTGTAAATCAGGGTTAACATTTTTTACATATCTCTGAAAAGAGCTTTGAAACCTATATGTAAAGCAGAAGGATATAATTAGAAATAAGGCAGTGTGAGTTTTTTTGTGTCCTGGCAATTTTTGAAACAGTTTATTTGATTTCAACCAAATTTGGAAAACGAACAGATGTCTCAAAGATAATTGAGTTCCTAAAAGTTCTGTCATCTAGGCAGTGGGACAGAAGAGAAAGAATCGTGAATTCTCCTTGTTGAAAGAACGGCTGCAGTGTTGCCATATGTGTTATTAGATAGCAGGGAATCCGAGTGGATGGAAAACTTCATAAATGCTCCAACATCACTGGTTACTGTTTATAATCTCATCCACTGTTCCTCTCTTTTGTTGCCTCAAGCTAAAAGGCACTGGGAGGTCCTATTTGGTGGGTTAATGTAATCTGTATTTCAAAGTTAAAAAATAAGTGTAAGTTCAGGCTAGTTGCTGAAGGAGCCTGTGCAGTTGATAGGGAGGAATAGACACCCCAGAGGGCTAATTCCATTCAATGTCTCTCTGATGCCTTTTACAGATTAAGGGGAATTTCATCTTTGAAAATGTCTGTTTCTATTTAGTATAAAAAGAGACGAATGTGAGTGTCTCATTTTTAACTGTAGGTTAGGATGAATCACCCTCACATTTTACAGGTAAGTTTATTATATGAGTTTCTTGCAGCATGTTAGGCAGAATTATGATCAGAAACTACTAGGTATTTAACATAGGAAATGCAGTCTGACTGGCCAAACAGTCTGTATTGGCCAGACACTGCAGAGGATAAAGAATTGTTTCTCTTAAATTGTTGAATATATGAAGGTTGAGACTCAAGCTCTGTCGACAGTTTGTCGTAATGATCTGAAATAGTTGTATTTAATATCATTAGTTTTACCTGTAAAAATTAATTCCTTAGATCAGATGAACTCCTATTTGAAGTAAATTTTATTGTTAAAAATGTTTGCTATCGTTGTTGAATGACATAAAAGCTTGACACTTACTCCACATAATTTTCACACTTCCTAATTGTAAATAAAGAGGTATGATTAGGAGAATGTCAAGGTAATCTGTTTTGTCTTGGCTTTTTAATAGACAAATGTTGAGCTGCTGTAGATTAATGCTTTTTCTTTAGTGAAATGGAATTCTCCAGGGATATAATACCAGTTGTTAATTATTTTTCTCATGCATTAGTCATAGAGTAAATGGAAAATTAATTGTTTTTCAGATTTTAAAAAATTGTCTTTAATGCAGAAATATCTATTTGGTTTGTGTAGATTTGAGTGATTTCTTTTTGTCCTCCCAAATACAATATCAGCTTTAAAACTGAAGTAAGAAGCATGATTTTTTTCTTACAGACTGTTACTATTTCCCATATGTTAATTCAGATTGTTGAAATGAATTCAAACTGCTTTAGTTCTGTGAACCATCGAGAGAAAGTAAATATATGATAGTAAATATACATGCCTAAACATACTCAAGATGCATTGAAAATTCCAGATGTATTGAACATCTCAAACGTTTTTTTTTGTTTGCACTGCTTTCTTTGGCAAAAAAAATTTCACATTTTTGAGCCTCCCACCCCACTTACATGTGTCTTACTCATTCCGATTAGAAGTGATTTGAGATCTATTTTTAATGTGTGTTTGTAGTTACATGGTCTCCAACCTTTATTGTAATTTAAATAAGTGGTGAAGTTCTATTTTGGTCATAAGCTATTTAAACAGATGTAGAAGCCAGCCCAATGCATACCATCGTTTGTATTTGATGAAAAACAGAAGAGCTTAAACTGGATTAATACATTGATAGTGTTAGGTGGCTTTCTAATTGTTGCATTTAATACCAAGCTCTCCTTAGAATCAGTTTCAACTGTAAGACAGTTTTGTTTTGTTTTGGTTTGGTTTTTTTTCCACAGCAGTCCTTTCCGAAGAAGCTTCCAATGTCTCAGTCAGTGCCTCAGATTTATATCCAGGTTAAGGAATTTATTTATGCAAGCCTTAAGTTTTCAGAGTCACTTCACCGCAGGTAAGCTTGACATATCAGCAGTGTCACTATAAGGTAACCTGTAACTTCCAGCTGACCTAAAAATACATATTAAATTGAAAATATATTTTCTTGTGCACTTACTAGCTGTGCTTGTTTCATAATTTACATATAATTTACACATATAATTCTTTATATTTCCTTTGTGATTCCCAATGCTATAGCATGTATTTCATATGTGCATATATATAAATTCTATAGAATATATGTATGTCTGTATAGGTGAAGGTAGCTTGGCATGGTACGCAGTCTAAACACTACTGGGTTTAGTTTTTTTTAAACAGCATTGACTAGTTTGAATCTACAGGTTTTCTTTATTTAACAAAGCATGTAAGATTTGAAAAATATGCTTTGGTACCGACCATTTCAGAAATAATTGTGTAGCATCCCTGATTATGGTCTTTCCCTTCTCAGTGCTGTGAGTTTCCTTAACGTTGATTTCTTCTGCAACAAAATGTGTTGTCTGCATACTTATTCCCTCTTCCACCCCACCTTTTTTTTGGTGGAAATCATCACTATTCTCCCATTTCCTTTCCTCTTGTGGCCTTCAGTAGCTTAGTTTTAATTACATAAAATAACATTCATAGATCTGAAATCTGGAAGGTATTCGTGGCTGGTCACCCAGTTCTGCACTGTTAAAGATGTAAATGACTCGCTTTCACACATTCTTAATTGATACTGTTTATAATTTACACATCCTAATGAGCACATGTTGACCTCTTCAGTAACTCATTAAAACCCACAAATTACTCTTTCGGAACTGCTGTGTCAATAAACATGTTCAAAATCTTTAAAAAAAAAAAAAAAGTTTTGCTTCAGTGTTGAAATTCAGCTAATGAATACTTTGTAAGTGAAAAGAGGTGTTTTGTGTGTTAGAACACAGAAGACTTGGAGCAACCAGAAATGAAACATACATAGGGAATTCTTAACGTGAAAAGTGTCCTTTGCAGGGAAAAAGAAAATAATTATTACTGTCAAAGTATTGTCATGTACAGCATAGTTACAAGAACAAATTCTTTTTCAGCTCAACAGAAATAGATGATATGCTCAGAAAATCTACAAATTTGCTGCTTACAAGAACTCTAAGTAGTTGTTTACAGAACCTAATTAAAAAACCTCATATAGGTTTAACCGAGGTAAGTTTTAAAACACATACTCAGAACTTTTTAAGACAGTTAATGCCAAAACTACTCTTGTAAATTTAGATATAAGATATCTATTAAGATTTGTGTAAGAAAAATAAGTAGTGTTTGCTTTAACAAACGAGGTGAAAGAAGTAGTATAAAAACGCATCACTATCTGTTATGTAAATAACAGCAATACAGTGTTGGGTTTAGTTGGAAGTATAATTACACAGGGATGCCTTTTGAGTGTGAGATGACAATGAAAGAGTTCTGTCTGCTGCAAGGTAAGCAGAGATTTTCAAGAAATAAGAGAAAGAATTCTACTTCTTTGGTTGCATATAGAGCATGGTTCATGTGTTCCACTCTTGTCTAGAAATTGGTAGCATACTGTTCATTTTCTTTCTATTAAAAACAAGGGTGGGGGGAAGAGAGGAAAGAAAATCTTTCACATCAACTGTGTAGATTTTCAGAGTAAACCTACCAGATTTATGTATATATATGTATATATAAAGATTTATAAATATGAAGTCTCAAGACCACTCTAACAGACAAAACTTTTTCTATAGTCATTGCAATTAAAACATTTTAATAGGTTTATGCATGTTGTTTCATCATCAGGACTCTTGGTTTAATTTGTTTATTGGGCAGAATAAGACAGAGTGAGGTAGTGAATCACTGAACATTCACTGCAGGTACATGCAATGTCAGGAGACAGCAGGTACCTACTGAGATGTGCTGAGAAGGACTTAGACTACTGCCATTAGGGCAGGCATGTGTCCTACTGAATGTTGGTTTTAAACTGCAAGAACCTCTTGTATAGACAAAATCAACAAGAAAAAGATGAGGAAAGAGCTCTATGAATGACATATTGCCATCTTAGTAAGACAAGCCATACATTTTTTCTGAGACATACTCTTCCATGTTCTTGAAATTGGTACAGGACTATTTTCAACAATATGAAAATAAATTCACTAGTATTTTTTGAGGTGCTTCATTATCAAGCCAATATGTTTTATGATAAAAATATTAAAGTGAGAACTTATTTTACCAAGCTTTACATTAGTGTTCACTAAGACAGTATACAGTGGGAATTAAGATGTAATATACTGATATTTCAGTTAGTATGCATTATGTACATTAATTTGTGAAATCAATGCTAATGCAGATCCTGCTTATAGAAATATTCCTAACACATATAAGCAGATTGTTACCAGTGTTGGGGCAGGAAGGAGTTGACCACCTTATTTCTTCAATTCCCAGACTTCAGAAAGCATCATTCTGCAGACAGTATTGTGAAATATTTTTTTATGGCAGTAATTTTTTGCTTTTGGTGATATATTTTCCTTCCTTTAATTCTAAAATATCAATTGGATTTATTTCACTGAGTAGGTGTCTGCAGTCTTCATTTTTAAAATGGCATCATTTGTATGTAAACAGTGGTATTCCTCCTTAGTGGTATTTGAAAGCAAACTTGAAAACTGACAGGTAATAGGTGGTAACCTGAAATACTGTCATTAATTTCTAATAATTGTTGCTGAAAGAAGTAACCATTTACAATATCAGATGACAATGGGTGATACAAAAAGGATTTTTACAAGAATTTTTTGTCTCTTGTAGCTTGTTCAAATCATCATAAACACAACACACCTGGAACAAGCCTGTAAATACCTTGAAGATTTTATATCTAACATTACAAATATTTCACAAGTGACTGTTCACACTGCAAGACTTTATGGACTTTCTACATTTAAGGTATGGTGTATGTCATCCGTTAGATGACTATGTCTGAAAAGTTACATTAAAGTTGCTATAAAGTAAGCAATTTAAAATAAAAAGGGGTGAGGACAAAGCTGCATGCTTTATCATATTTGACTTTAAAACAATTCTGAACTGTTAAGAATGCAATTGTAACACTGAGCAGATAAACAGTGTTTTTTAGGTTATTGGCATAATCTGATATATATGGCAGTACATATATATCAATATTCTCTTTCAGAAGCATCTTTTGTTAAGTTATGAAATGAGAGGTTAAGCTTAATTGCACCAGAAGCTTTCAACAAATTAAGCTCCAATTTCTGTGTGTAACATCTCTCCTTTCTGAATGGAATTGAGCAAAACTGCTAGTTTAATCTAAAATGTTTGTATTATTTATTTGGTTTTATTCCACAATATAAATATTCTGTTGTATATTTTCAAATAGTGTAATTTAGCAATATAAAAGCAATATTAAGAATGTGTTATAAAGCATAAGCATAAATTATTCAATTGTCTTTTTAGAATTAATATTTAATTTACTTTCCCTTCATAGACACAATAATACTTGTTAAAATGATCAGTGGGAACTTGACTGTTTCTAATGTATGGCAACTGCTTATCTGCACAAGCTGTATTTTCTCTGACATTTTTCAGAAATGGCAGAAGTACTTAAGCTTATATCTCAAAAAATTAAAGTAAATCATAAGTGATGCATACTCAGCATAGGCAATTGTAATTTCAACAATTAGCATGGCAACATTTGTAAGCAGAGTATAAAATAGTCCTAAAATCAAAAATGTAGGGTTTTTTTCTATATATGAATCCTCATCTCATTAGCAGGTGAAGTTCTCCTAGTTGTTCTTGTATTTGTCTATACAGAAATTCTGAAGGATTTTGAAAAAAAGAAACTAAAGCAAAAATACCAAGTGGCTTGTATAATAACATCTGATGTCCTTATACCCTCATCTGTGAAGCCCCTCTCCACAATGTTACTCAAAAGGCCTTAGTCCTTTTTCAGTTGTAAGGCAGACACATGTTTTGTTAAAGAGAGGTCTGCACATAAAAATGAAATTGCTGAAAACAGCTCATACACGCAATGTCAGGTTAACTCAAGATGATTGAGACTTATCCCTAAAATAAATGAGACAAAATTCTGATCCGTGCTCAGGCTGTTTTATGTCATAATGACCCTGGTAAGCTCTAGGGTGTGGGGTCCTCCCTGGGCTGCAGGCGGATCTCTGCTCCACCGTGACCCTCCATGGTTGCAGGGCACAGCTGGCCTCAACGTGGTCTGCACCACAGGCTGCCAGGGAACCTCTGCTCTGGCACCTGGAGCGCCTCCTCCCTCTCCTTCTCCACTGACCTTGGTGTCTGCAGAGCTGTTCCTCTCACATATTCTCACTCCTCTCTCTGGCTGCTATTGCTGTTGCCCAGCAACTTTTTTCCTTCTTAAGCACCTTATCCCAGGGGTGCTACCACTGTCCCGGATGGGCTCGGCCTTGGCCAGCAGCGGGTCCGTCTTGGGGGGCCCTGGCTCTATTGGACATAGGGGAAGCTTCTAGCAGCTTCTCACGGAAGCCACCCCTGTAGCCCACCCACTGCCAAAACCTTGCCACACAAACCCAATACACTTTCTGAAGAAAACATTCTCACTGAAGAATAATCTCGTACAGGTTACCTTGTGCCATTAATTCAGCCTGCGCATTGCTTTCTTAGTCACTTAGGGCTTTTATACAGAAATTTTGGAAAGAGAAACAAAACAAAAAGTCATCAGAGATTCCGAAGCAGCTGCAACTTCAACTTTAGGTATTTGGGTTTTTTTCAGTGACACTGAAATAAAGGAGGATAATTTCTTGTATTTATGGGATAAAGAGGACTAATCCTATTGAGAGTAGTTGTTTACTGTACTTAAGTTTTTCTCTTGATGCAATATGTAGCCTATCCTGTTATAATATCCCCTCTGGCATAGATGTTAAAAGGTGGGTGAGGTGGAACAAGACATCACCATTGTAAGACACTTCGTATTTCCAGTTCATTGCCAAAAATTTTTCCATTAAATGTCATTTTGTTTGTTAAGGATTTAATGAATAAGGCTAGACAGGAAGGTTCTAGCAACTGTAGTTAGGTCACCATTGCTCTACCAGTAGTTTTACTAATTTTGCGCTGTCCTTAAGGTCTGGGCTGCCTAGTTTGCTTGTTGTGTACCGATAGTGCATGTGTGTCTTTGAATTTGCATATCTATAGATATTTTTGTGTAAGGTCAATCCATAAACTTTTCAACATTCAAACAAAACAATGCAGCAATAATATTTGATCTCATTAAGAGTAAGATGTTCTTTCTCCTTGAATTTAATTGAATAAATGCAGTTGAAAGTCGGCATTATATTCTGTGCTGATTGCTTATGCCCTCAGTTATATTTAACTATGCTATAAACTACCAATGTTCTACTGGAGGGAATCACAGAATATTATATCTGGGTTTAGTGATCTTAGTATCTGTGCTATTTGGAAAAATACAGAATGAACACAGAAAAACACATTAGAATTTTTTTTTAATGGTTTCTATCCTGTCTCTTTCCC